AGAGGAATCCTTTTTACCTAGGTCAGACACGATTTCCTTTCGAGGATCTGCAGAGTGTTCTGGTGACAACTCCTTGCGCAGCGGCTAAGGAGCATCGTACTCATTTGCCGACGAGCACTAAAAAATAAATACCTTGACCATGATAACAGAGGTCTCTCGTACCGATTCTTCACAAAAAATAAAGTCCCTATAAATGTGCCATGGGCTGCCCTAGATGGTGGAGACGCCTAAAGGAGAAACCGTTTTGATATAATGAAGAATCAACTGATCGTATGAAGGCAGTCAATCGTACCTTTTCTCGTTCCTTATGGTGTACCTTTTTGTCATTGCTATCTCCGGGGCTCAGAGAAGAGCTGTGAGGTTCGATTGGCTCCACCTCTGCGTGAGCGTGGAAAATGCCCTCAAAGGAGACTGTGAAATTGGAAGGATTTGCCGAATGACATGTAGTAATCATTACAGGTTTTCTACAACGTTGTACAGGCGGCCTGCTATGCTGTAATGGCAGTGCTAATTATGCGATTGAAGCTGTTCTTCACACCTCATCTATGTGTCTGCTCTGCACTTTTGGCCAACAACAAGGGTGATTTTGACATACATCTAGTACCAACCGATTGTGTAGGGTTAGTTAAGGTTAATTTTTTTTCTGGTCTGTTGCGAAAAGACAATCGCGAGCATAGGTTAAGGCCTTACCCCAACCTACTGACCACAAAGTAAAGTCCATGATACTAAGGGCCGTGTCCTCCAAAACGGGGACATTTACTGTTCCCGTTACTTCTTTGGAACTTCGCCTACTTTTCTCTTGCCTACAATACCGCCCCTAATTTTTGGAAAAAAGGCGGATTAATCCGCCGCAAAGCGCCGCAAACCGCCGCAAAGCGCCGCATTGTTATAACTCCCTTCAAAGGAGCTAATGAAAAAGCGAGGCATACCTTAAATTTCGCTCTGAGTTGGCGAATCCAACGGTACAACACACGCCGTAATTGTTTGAAAACGAATAGAAATAAACGCAAATCGCGTTTTTTTTTCGCTTTTTTGCCATTTTTTTGCTATAACTTTATTTGACTTTATTTGTATGAACTGTTCTCATACAGAACCCTATACTGTTAGACTCAGCTCTTCGAGATCTATAATCTGGCATCCTGAAAAATTGAAAAAGTCGAAAAGTGAACTGTGCTTCCTATCGAATTACCTGAGGACACTCGTTACCGAGCGAGTCTCGCTATGATTGTAACCGGAGGGTAAACGTTGGGAATTAAATAATTCTGGAATCAAACAACGTACTGTATCGCGTGAGAAGTGATTAAGAATTGGATAGTTGTGTTTCCCAAATGCTGCTGATCATTTTGGTGCCAATTTTCCTGGAAATTGAGGGGTTTCGCTCGATGTCACTTTCGGGCGATATAGCCTTTTCAGTCCGGGAAATCTCGAGCACTGGTTCAATTCGGACCACATGAGCCCGACGGGCCTAATGTATGGAGTCCTGCTTTTCCTAGTGTTCGCGAATTTCAAGAGTGAATTCAGAAAGAAGGGTTTTTCAACTACTTGATATGGGCACTTCGTGCGATACTAGAACAAATGCTCGATTTTCAGCGTTTTCAGACAGGATTTCCAGAGCTCTGAGTGGCTCCACGAGTTTCATAAGAAAGTTTTATACAGTACGTCTTGTGCTTTTCAACAATCTGGTGGAAAAAAGTGGCATATTTCAGGATGGTTGTTGTTATTGGGTGCCAACTTCAAGACAATTCCACAGCTAATTTCAAGTTCTTTTCATAGGAAGAAAATTTCACTCAAAGTTACATCATTCGAATCCCTATGAAAAATGCTATCTTACCATATAAGAATCACGTCATGGAACTTCCTACAACCTTTCGCAGTTTTTCCTGGCTATCTGTCCTGTCAGCGGTCAGTCGACCTCCTAAGTACTTATCCCACGAGGTGTCAGGGCATTGTATTGATCAGTCTTGGTAATTTCATCAACTAACGTGGTTTCTTCTGTTTACCATTTCGCAAAAGTTTAGTGAGGGCCGCTATTTTGCAGCTCCTCTTATTTTTGAATTGAATTTTTCATCGGTTTCAAAAAATATTCCGTTAATTCGGGAATTACAAAACTCTTCCATCGATTAATATTTCATTTCCTTATAACTGCATAGCGAACAAGCAAGGCGCACGTCTTTCTCCGCCCTACCTGCATCAAGCAATTCATTCCACTATAAGGCTCTGGCCTTGAAGTGCTCAAAAATCCTCACCTGTCACCTGAACTTCGAATAGAATCATGGCAAACATTTTTTGTAGAACACTTTATTCGAGCCTCGCATTGGGACCCACTCCATGCAAGCAAAATTTAAAACTCAAGCACTTGTGGCTCGTAGAGAGTTGAGGATGCGCGACAAAGTTCCTAAGGTGATTAGCGGATGTACCGCCGAGGTCAGCAGCTGCGATCAGCTGAGTTTCCGTAAAGACGATGACAATGGATAAAGTAACTAACAGTATAATTGTGTGTGGTATGGAAATGGTAGGTTTGTAATTCGAATTACGAAATTTTTGAAATCGATGAAAATTCAAATTTCAAATAAGAGAAGCATTTTCCAAAAATAGCGGCCTCCACTACACTTTATGCAAATCGTAACAGAAAGAAACACGTATAGTCGATGAAGTACCAAGACTGATCAATACAATGCCCTGACACCTCGTGGGATAAGTACTTAGGAGGTCGACTGACCGCTGACAGGACAGATAGCCAGGAAAAACTGCGAAAGGTTGTAGGAAGTTCCATGACGTGATTCTTATATGGTAAGATAGCATTTTTCATAGGGATTCGAATGATGTAACTTTGAGTGAAATTTTCTTCCTATGAAAAGAACTTGAAATTAGCTGTGGAATTGTCTTGAAGTTGGCACCCAATAACAACAACCATCCTGAAATATGCCACTTTTTTCCACCAGATTGTTGAAAAGCACAAGACGTACTGTATAAAACTTTCTTATGAAACTCGTGGAGCCACTCAGAGCTCTGGAAATCCTGTCTGAAAACGCTGAAAATCGAGCATTTGTTCTAGTATCGCACGAAGTGCCCATTATCAAGTAGTTGAAAAACCCTTCTTTCTGAATTCACTCTTGAAATTCGCGAACACTAGGAAAAGCAGGACTCCATACATTAGGCCCGTCGGGCTCATGTGGTCCGAATTGAACCAGTGCTCGAGATTTCCCGGACTGAAAAGGCTATATCGCCCGAAAGTGACATCGAGCGAAACCCCTCAATTTCCAGGAAAATTGGCACCAAAATGATCAGCAGCATTTGGGAAAACACAACTATCCAATTCTTAATCACTTCTCACGCGATACAGTACGTTGTTTGATTCCAGAATTATTTAATTCCCAACGTTTACCCTCCGGTTACAATCATAGCGAGACTCGCTCGGTAACGAGTGTCCTCAGGTAATTCGATAGGAAGCACAGTTCACTTTTCGACTTTTTCAATTTTTCAGGATGCCAGATTATAGATCTCGAAGAGCTGAGTCTAACAGTATAGGGTTCTGTATGAGAACAGTTCATACAAATAAAGTTATAGCAAAAAAATGGCAAAAAAGCGAAAAAAACGCGGATTTGCGTTTATTTCTATTCGTTTTCAAACAATTACGGCGTGTGTTGTACCGTTGGATTCGCCACTTTAGACGTGCGAATCTAACGGTATGCCTGGCTTTTCATTTTAGCTCCTTTGAAGGGAGTTATAACAATGCGGCGCTTTGCGGCGGTTTGCGGCGCTTTGCGGCGGATTAATCCGCCTTTTTTCCAAAAATTAGGGGCGGTATTGTAGCTATGTACGTTTCTCATACTATTCGACTTCTGGTCTTTCAGGATAAGTTGGGTGAAAGAGCTTTCAAAAATTGCTGAGTGGTATTACGCACGCCAACACGCCGGCTGACTTGCTATGGCATCGCACAAGACTTATTTATTATTTATTTATTTATTTATTTATTTATTTATTATTTATTTATACACTGCAAGGTTGTGCTGTTCAATTACTGGAAGAAACAAACAATTCTTTCAACCACAATGCGGAAAATAGGAGAATATCTTTGCAATACCATGAACTGCTCACTTGACTTGAAGGAGGTAGAATGGTGTTAAGATCATTATTTCATTGAAGCGATATGAAACTGTTGACGCGATCGATACTGCAACTAAGTCCACATGTCCTATTTCCTTTTGCCACAAAGGAAGCCCTGATAAATGGAGACCAGACAACATCGGGAAGTTATCCTTCATTTAAAAGAAGGACAATGAAGTTAATAACGGTTCAAGGTGTACGGGCTGCAAAATGTCAAGTTAGCTAGTTCGCAAGTACCGTGTTGATTTCTTCCCGTCAACGGATCGTGGATCTCTTCAATACATTCACCCAGAGCTTATGGGTGTGATCACCCCGCCCGCCCTCACTGGCGTGCCCCTCTTTCGGATACTTTGAAGGAGGGACGTGTCCATGATAGAGGTTACTTTGTTGAGCTGGCTTCTCTTTGTGTCCACACGAATACATGTATTATTGACCATAGCTTCAGGGGCTGAGGCAAAATGTGTGGAGATAGGAAACGTTTCCACTAACATCTTAATTGAATGAAGTAATAATACTCATCTTCTCCTTCTTGATCTTCATCGTTTGTCCTAACCCTGCTGCGGTTCCGCTCTTCTGATTTTATGACGCCATTTCTCCTGATTGAATGCCTGATCTGTATGGGAACTAAATGTCCTCGAGCTGAGCTTTTTGATCCAACTTTGCTTGGAGCATCCCTTAGGGCGTTTTCGAGCACTCAAAGCTGGAGACCAAGCTTACAGACGGTGTCCGCCTTGGTGCGCCGTGAGAGACAGAGCTTCGCAGTTTATCTTTTACAGATAGGACTATTTTCTTCCTATACCGTGTCTCGAATCTGAACCAATATGTTGACACCGGCCGTCCAACGTTTAATTTTCATCTCCATCACATTTGAAGCGACCTCGGCTTCATAAGTCGCAGACAATCACCCAGTCCTGTACAACGCTACTGGTATTGACCAAAGCTCTATAAATTTTCGACGTGAGACACTCGGTATAATCATGTCGCAGAGGATTCCAATCATGGAGCGCCATCTAGTCCATGCTGCAGTCACGCCCGAGTTCAGCTCTGAGGACATACTCCCGCCAAGAAAATATGTGATATATTTATATTGTGGGTGTTCCCAGGGCGGGGCCCGTCACGGGGATCTGTCACCTCCATTCAAGTATCTGTCGTTTAGCTCAGCTCGTAGGGTACCACGTGGAGTAGCGGACCTCATCACCAATGATGTCGCCGTTGTAAAGCAATCTGAAGAGATGAAACTGTTGAGGAATATCTTCTTTGCATGTTTAAGAAATTCAAGTATATTCTCCAAGTTCTCTCTTGTTGTAACCTCGGCATCGTTGTTGATTCTGTTTATGTTGCTATGCCACTCGAGGTTTTTAGGTGGAAATCTTTATTTTACGGCCTAACGTTTCGACTTGGTCGTCTTCTTCAGAGGCCTAAACGCGTTTCGAGGTTAGGAAATGAACACTACCTTACTAAGCGCCCAACCAACCCTAGCAGTTCCGATGGCGTGTTCGGAACTCAACCGAAAGCCCACACAACGAAGAGTGCACTCACCAAGCTTCCACCGTATATCCGCAACCATATGCGGCTAGTAGTTAGTAGAGAATGAGACTTACTACAGCATCTCCTGACACGTCTAGAAATGAGGAGACGCGCGTATCACTGCTACTTAGAGCTCGCAATACGGTATGTATGGCAGAAGGTCATTCGTCACTGACGGACACTCATCTCGGCTGTTCATCCTAGGATTTCTGACTGAAATCCAAAACGCCTCTAACGCCTTCCTTGCCGAAATTTCCGTCTCCTGCGCCAATATCGTACACTTGATTCAAAGTTGTTGCCGTCATGCTCCTCAGATTTTGCCTACCAAGCGCTGTCGTGAGCCTATCGATAGTTCATAGGTTATAGTTGAAGATTAAACACGATTGTATCGTTGACGCCCATGGCATATAGGTTACGAAACCTAGAAAAGATAACAAAATGCAGTTGAGCCGTTTCCTTAGAACGATACCATTTGTGAACCCCTATCTTGGCACATTAACTCTTGTCATATGGAGTGAGTCACGCGCCTAATTGCACCTTTCTCACGTCACAATAGAAAGAGGGGGCTGGTGGGTAGGCATTCCAAAGATAACGCTCGAGTTACATGAATGGCTTATTCATTTCTTTTTAGGCTTCTTCGCACAATCAATGTACATCTTGATAAGCGCATACACGCCGTAGTCATGGTCGCACTGATTGCCGTAATGGCTTATGAGGTCTAATAGTTCCTAAAAGCTTCTATTTTATAGATGAACACTATTATGGAAAGCATTTTCTTGTATTTCAGGTAAGTCGAATATTGAAAAGCAGCTTAAACAAGTATCAGGAGAGTACGTAATTTCCGGAACAACGAACAGCTTTCGACATGCGGATCATTGAGAGAAACAAAAACCAGGTATTGATACGATTATGCCTCAACGAGACTGCGTCTTTGACAATGCCAGTCACCAGAATAAATCCCTAAAACGAGTAGGCTTAACACACCTGGCAAATCCGCGTCTCTGAGCAGGCGTGCGTAGCGCTTTTTCCAAGGGAGCGGCCCTTTAGCAATCTGCCAATGTACAGGGGGGGCCAAAAAAAAGTCATTTTGCCTCCATGACTTTCAAGGCGCTATAAGTTACACTTTATTAAATTTTTATCGGACATTTTTACTACCATATTAAAGAGCACATTAAATACTATAATGATACTCCGCCACAGCCTTCTGGAGGAGCGCCATCGAGAGATTCGGCCGCGCGAAAGTGAGTGGGTACCGGAGTTGAGCGAGATCGTTGATTTCTCCGCCACTGTAGACCACCCTGTTGAGCTCCGCCCGAACTAGGTAATTGAGTGGGTTCAGGTCAGGGGACATACTTCAATATTACATCTTCATCAGGTACGAAACGCCCTTCCATTCGAAGTAGGCGGGAGTTTTTCCAAAACCCTTCGATTCCATGTGGTGGCACCCAAACCTGTAGCAGCACAAGGTCTCCAAGAAGGTACGGGCGACCACATGTAGGGAGGATATCCTTCTCGAGTTACTTGATGTAACCGCCAGCGCTCACCTTCAGTCGGGGTCTACAAAGAAAATATCGGTCTTCCATTCCAGGTACGGCCGGTCCACACCATCAACCGCGCCTTGGTGAATGGGGTGAAGATGATGTCCTGGACCGTAGCGACGTTGCCGGAGCTGCTCGATGTTTGGAGGTCTTGCAGATCAAGAGTACTGGTCTCCAGGTAGCTATCCATGGGTGATTCCATTCAAGTTCCGCAGCTGTTTGGAGGCCACGTGAATTCCAAAGGCGTTCTCCACTCAGGCCGCGACTGGAGATGACTTCATATTTTGGTGTACATGAAGGTGAATGGCGGCAGCCGGCTCCTGCTTATAGAGGAAGATCTTGGGTATCTTCCGCCCTGGTACTCATATCCACTTCCTCTGTCTGGGCTGCGAAAACTTCGCTCATATGTGACTCGGCCGGAATGACTTTTTTTTTTGGCCCCCCCTGTATGTGCAGC